GATGTCTTCCTCTCCTATAGGCACTGTGGTATATGGCGAACCCATCACAGCCAGCCTGGGGACTGATGGATCTCATTACTGGAGTAAGAACTGGGCCAAGGCAGCAGCCTTTGTCACTTCCCCCCCACTGAGTCCTGACCCAACCACTCCTGACTTTCTCAACTCGCTGCTGTCTTGGTGAGTACAAGAGGCTGCATGTTCCTATAACACCCTATTTAAGCATGTCACATGGTCACTGAGGATAACAACCTGCTACTGCTACCATTTTACAAAGTTAGGTGCTTCGGCTTCTCTGTTACACTCAAGATCTTGAGTTCTTGGTGCCCACTATTGATTTGAATTATAAATTTGCAATGAAAACAAAATATCTGAAGTAATTGTCACCCATCTCTGGATTTCAGTGGAGACCTTCAAGTAACTGGCAGTGCTCACTGCACCTTCAACACTGCCCAGAAAGCTGTTGGAAAGGATAACTTTACCCTGATCCCTGAAGGGACCAATGGGACCGAAGAAAGAATGTCCATCATCTGGGATAAGGCTGTGGTACGTCACAGGGAGGACTCAGATTTGTGCTTACGTGTGCACTGAGGAAGCTGGCCATCCATGTGGCTTACATCTTTTTCTTTTCTCTAAAAAGAAGGGCTCATGTATGTTGTTTTACTTCTGTCTCGGAGTGAACTGCCTGCCTCGACAGTTCCCAAAGGGTGGGCTGACCCAGGAGTGGTGTCAGATAGAGCAGTCCTGGAGTTGCCATGTCTGACTTCTTGGCACCACTTTTTTGTTCAGTCCTGACCCCCTTTTGCATACATGGGCCTCTCTCCTCCAAAAGGAGCATTCAGTATCTGCTGTCGGTGGGTTGTCACTAGCCATTTGCTTTTTTGTGGTTGCTTGCATTCTGCTAACCTGCTGGATCCTTTGCTCCTTCACCAGGTGACTGGTAAGATGGATGAGAACCAGTTTGTGGCTGTGACTAGCACAAATGCAGCTAAGATTTTCAACCTGTATCCTCGGAAGGGACGCATTGCAGTGGGTTCTGATGCTGACTTGGTTATCTGGGACCCTGACAGCGTCAAGACGATCTCTGCGAAGACTCATAACATAGTAAGTACCTTCTGCAGCTAAGTCCTGCTGGCTTGTCTGCCAGGGGCTCTCAGCACTAAGTTCTGTGTCCGAGAACTAGGCATGGTGAGCATCCTGGCCTCATTTCCTCCCTAGTCTCTCGGGCACTCTCTCTCTACAAAATTGATCCTCTTTCAGTGCATACACAGGACTCTGATCCAGATCTGTGCTCTAGCAGGCTGTTCTGCGCGCAGGTATAAGTACTACCATACACAGTGTTAGCGAGAGCCTGCCTGGGAGTTGTGTGCTACTATGGATCAGGATTGTTTGCAGGGTCAGTTGCTAGTATTGTGAGGTCAGGGTGAGTAGAGTAGATGATAGGGAGCAATCCCCCTGGCCTTACAGTCAGTTGATTGGATCTTCACCACTGTAGCTTTCTGATAGCTGATGTGGCTACACTGATGTATACCATCTGAGAATCTAGCTCTGTTGCAACCAATAGAGTCCAGCCCCTGTATCACATGCTCCAGCAGTTATGTAAGTGGATACCTCCTGTTCTAATGGAGAATACAGAACTCCCTTATATACAAAACTGTCACTGGGAGTACAGAACTGTCACTGGGAGAGACTGGTTCAAGTTCCCCATGACCTCACAGCACTAAGGAGAGAAAACAGCCACTGTGTGGGTCTGTTTACAACTTGTTTAGCTGCTGGCTAAAACCCTAGGGCATATTTCCTTGGAAAAAGCTCCTTGTTTTGTTTTGGTTTTTTCCATGAATGGTTTCATTCACTCCAGTGCTGAAAAAGCAAAATGTCCCTGCACACATGGATCCTTGGGCACAGGAACAAAGGAATTTTTTTTTTTTTTATAGATATTTGCTTCATTTTCCCGGTGTCCTAGCTTTGTGCCTGATCTGGTAACTGTGCCCTTCATTGTGCTATGATGTGGAGGAGACCCTTCATAACAGAGAGCGTGTAGGAGCTGAATGGGATTGGTAATATAGCCCAGCTCAGTCACTATGTTTAAACCCATACAGAAAGGAAAGGGGTACTTTCAGTTGAAGCAGCAAAGGCTAATAATTCCTATACAGTCAGTTTTTCCTTTTCAGGCAAGCAAGCATCCAGAGAAGAGTTTTCAGAGTAGAGGGGAAGAAATAAGACATAGAAGGTTCCCAGTCATGGAGTGGGGCCCCATTGCACTAGGTGCTATATAAATTAAGCAAAATGCAAGGGTGAACTCTGACTTGTGTGCACAGAACATTGACTTTATCTTCCTCTTCCCTCTCTGTTTATCTCACCCACTTCTTGTGCCTTCATGTGAGCCTGCAAGTGTTCTGGGGCGAGGACCTGTTTTGCATAGCGTCCGTTAGTTATTGTGCCTTCCCAGCAAAATGGTGCCAGCAGAGAACTAGCAGCTGCCTTAAAATCAAGGCATTCACATTCAGTTACAGATAAAACCAAAGCCCTTTTGAAACTCTGGAGGAGACGTTGTAGTTGCTGAACTAGAGGCACCAAATTCTTCTGCTGCATTTTTAAATGCTAGAGCGGTGCACGCACATTTCCCAGGAAGTCCCATCACAGTGCCACTGTGGCAAGGAAACGTCAGACGCTAGAGAAGCAAACTCTGCTGTTCTTGGAACTTGCCTGATTCCTGTGCATTTAGCCAAGCCGCCTTCTCTGCCACCACAACCCTTTTCATTTCGGACCCCAAATACTTTCAGTTAAACCACCATTCTAACTAATTGTAAAGCTGCAGTGAAAGCCTCTCGGATGGAGCTTGCCGAAAGAACAGATTGTAACGCGAGTTCTGCACAAAAGACCTGGTTCAAGTTAGTATTTCTCCCAGAGGTGGCCAGAAGAGGGACTGTTCTTAACCACTGTAACAGCTTCATGGCAGCATTGCTTTTAGAACTCTTTTTTGTTTGTTTTGTTTTTTTTTGTTTCATAGACCAATATGTCCAATCCTGTTTATTGAGGATGTGCAGTTCTGTAAGGTAAAGAAGGATTGTCCTTGGTCCTGACCTATCAGCCCAAACCTTGATGCAAAACAGACATTTTTTTGTTCTTTTAACTCCAAACTCTGATTCACTGCAATTAGCAGTGGGTTCCCAGAACTCTTCCTGGGCAGGGACTCTCTCACTAGGTGTACATGCTGTGACTGGCTCAGTGATGCCCTGATCTCAGCTGGGGATTGTTGGAATTAAGATAGTAATTGTGCCTGCAGTATTTGGAGATGATAAAGCACAGCAGGCTGTACCACTTGGTTTCTCTAAACATGATTCTCAGTTACATGATATCTGTCAGAATTTGGAGAGAAAAGAATTTGTTCGGGAGCAGTTTAATGGGAATGATTTACCAAGTGTTTATTATTTGCTTGAGCCCTAAAGCTACTCCGACACTGGTACCCTAGTTAACAATATCCAGTTAAGCATGTAGAAATCTGGGGGATATCAAGAAGTCCGGTAGACTGGATAAAACTTTTATCTTGGGCGAATTCGGAAAGGATGGGGTGACAAATAAGGGTGAATGAAGATTTATAATAAATACGTACAGTGACACTTAACCTCAATAGGAGGCACAAATGAAAACGGCTTAAGGAATTAAGAGTATAGCTTAATTGTAAAAGCAGGGATTGATGTTATACAACACTGTATGTGTATTAGAAGAAAACACTGAGGCTTGCCTAAACGCCTACATTCAGGAGTCGTCATGGACAGTTGACTGAAAAAATTCAGCATATACCTTATGGGATTTTGCTTGGCCATGGCCTCCAAAGTAACAGCTTGTGGTGGGACTAACGCATTGGCCTGATATCTTTTGTTTGTTGTTGCTCTAGGCTCTGGAGTACAACATCTTTGAAGGCATGGAGTGTCGTGGGTCTCCGCTGGTGGTTATCAGCCAGGGAAAGATTGTGCTGGAGGATGGGAACCTCCATGTAACTGAGGGTTCTGGAAGATATATCCCTAGGAAACCGTTCCCTGACTTTGTTTACAAGCGCATCAAGGCCAGGAGCAGGGTGAGTATGTATAGCAATGCAAACTTGTTCTGCTGTTGGAACTCTCTTGTTCAAGAGACTTGTAAATAAGGGACATTTACACATCTTTTTTTTTTAGTGAATGCATCTTGGTTATTGTCCAAATTTACCTCTTTTCTTGGGTTTGTTTCATTATGAGCATAGCCCTTGGCCTAAACTTGGCTGTTGCTGCTTTAAGTTCTCTTTCAAAAAGAAACGGATAAGACTGAAGAACTAATAATCACCTGCTCTGGAAGTTGGGGTGAGTCAGCAAACTAGCTCTGCAGATCTGCACAGGGTTCTAGCATCCTGTCATAGTAATGTCACATGAACATAATCTAAGTGTAGCAGGGTGCCTCTCCAGGGGCGGCCACAAAGCCCCTCGAGTCCCGTTAGCTCTCGCTCTCTGTGGGCAATCACTTCTCCTTTCACCCACCATGCCTTGATGCATTTTACCTTTGTAATGAAGGAGTCTGCTCCAGGACTTCCGAAATTGCTCTCTCTAATGACTGCCAGGTGTCTGCAGTCACTGCCTAATGGGATAATTGCATGGCTCCAATCCACCCCTACACCATGCCCCACAGGTGTCATCACTCACTAATGTTACCTTCCACTTAGTCCCTCCTCTGGGCTCCTGGACCCACTCTGATCCCACAGTCTCAGGCCCTCAATCTGGGCTCCAGACCCCTCCATGGGTCCCTAGAAATTTTCTCCTCCCCTTAGCTCCTCCCCAAGCCTCCAGATTGCTGGCTTTATTCTTCCGAGTTGGTATTCCACAGCTGCAGCCCTCCTGCTGGGCAATATTCCCTTACCAGCCTCCAGGCCTTACTACCAGCTTATATCCTTTCCCAGCTCAGCCCTCCTCCAGGGTCATATGACTCCCCAATCAGCCCTGGCCCCACCTGAAGGCTATTTTCACCAGATCCTGCCTGCTCTTAAAGAGGTAGGAGCACCAAGGCACCTGCCACAATGAGAAGCAAGGATTTCTTAGGGTGATATCTTGTATTGGACCAACCGTGTACTTGGGGTAAAGTTAGACAAGATTTTGATGCAAGACATTCAGGTCCATGTGATCAGAGACCATGTAATACTACTTTTGTGATCAGAGACAAAGAATGTCTTGCATGCAAAAGCTGGTCTAACTTTATCCTAACTGCACTTGTTGGTCCAAATAAATATATCACCGTAAGAAATCCTTGCCTCTTGCATAATTTCTGGACCAGCATAGCTGCAACATTACTCTTACACTACCGTGAATATAATACTATTTTTATACTTGGGTCTTTCAGCAAAAATTTAGACCTTTACCTTTATCTCTTAATCTAAATTTACACCATGGACCAACCGTGTACTTGGGGTAAAGTTAGACAAGATTTTGATGCAAGACATTCAGGTCCATGTGATCAGAGACCATGTAATACTACTTTTGTGATCAGAGACAAAGAATGTCTTGCATGCAAAAGCTGGTCTAACTTTATCCTAACTGCACTTGTTGGTCCAAATAAATATATCACCGTAAGAAATCCTTGCCTCTTGCATAATTTCTGGACCAGCATAGCTGCAACATTACTCTTACACTACCGTGAATATAATACTATTTTTATACTTGGGTCTTTCAGCAAAAATTTAGACCTTTACCTTTATCTCTTAATCTAAATTTACACCATGTTGGTGACCTTTTCTTTTGCATTTCTTTTGTCTTCCAACAGTGAAACTAACCTGGTCCCATTCACTTTTTTTCAAGAAAGTAGTACTTGATTCTTTCACAGGTGTGGTTAGTTTGCATTTATCATAGGGAAAGGTTTAAATCCAGTCACTCAAATAATGGGAACATTTCTGTTTGTAAGTAGAAAACGATTGGGAAAAGGTCTCCTATAAAGAGGTGAATCCAAACCACAAACAGAGGATTTCCTATGGTGAAATCCTCAGCTGGTGGATAATAGCCTAAACTGTGTTGAAATCTCCATAGCTGTGCTGATTTCAGTAAAGTTGAGCATTTGACCTTTAGAGATTTTGTTTCCAAATACAGGCAACCCCCGCTTAACGCTCTTAAATGGTTCCGGAAAAAATGAGCATTAAGTGGAGCTGCTCTAAGTGAAACCCATTTCTCCATAGGAATGAATATAAATAGAGATAATTGGTTATTGCCACTTCTTCCTTTGCGGGGAGTCTGCCAGTGCCTGGGACCAGGGCCGGTGGGGGCTCAGGGCGATGTGGCAGGAGTGCGGGGTGTATGTTGGCACGAAGGGCCAGAGCAGCCGGCAGGCAGGCAGAGGGGTGGGTAGAGGTGGCAGTGGTGAGAAGCTGCCCCCTCACTTGCTGCTTCTTGCCGCTGCTGCTTCACCCCACCCCTGTGCCAGCCTGGGCCCCCACTCCTGCTGGCCCTGGCCCTCCGGCACCAGTGCGTGCCCCGCTCTCATTCCCGCCTGCCCACTCGCTGCCACTCGCCATTTCTCACTGTGCCGCTGCTGCTTTGCTGAGCGCTATAATGAAACTGGCTCAGCACTAAGTGAAATCGGGTATGAATTTTAAATGAGCGCTATAGCGAAATAGCGCTAAGTGAAACCACATTAAGCGGAGGCTTCCTGTACAATGATACTATAATGCAGAGATTGGCTAACTTGTCAAAGACCTCTAAGGAGAAGGAAATGACTATTTCAGAAACACCTGAAACTTTGCCCTCTGCTGGACAAAACCAGAGCTGTTTTTAGTTCTTGTGATAGTTCTGTCTGGTCATTAGTATTTGTTTCAAATGATTTTCCTTATTAACAGCTTAAGCATATTTTTAAATGTTGATGAAACATGGCCAACTTGCAAATTTTGGAGCCGCTATATTCATGCTAACAGAGAACTCAATCTGTGGGGATTAATGTAGAACAAAAAATGCAGCAGAAATAGTGGGTTTCATATCTCCCACTGAATAACTGCTCTGGTCAACCTTCTCTTAACTAGATTTCAGTTACATTTGGCATAAAATAAGGTGTTGCATCTGATGAAGAAAAACTCATTTCACTTCCATTTGTGTAGCTCTGGTTCTGTCAGCATCAGGGCCACGAACACCGGGTCCCCTCGGAGGCTGGCGGTGGGCACGGCAAGATCCAGCAGGTGGCAGCGGCGCTGTTGGCTGTGGGAGCCTGGCGGTGGTGAGCGAGTGTCGGCAGCGCCTTTTTGCAGGGGTGCACTGTCACGCTCGGGGGGGTGCTTGTGCACCCCCTACGCATCACCAATGATCAGGACTGAGCTCAACAGTAAATAAATAACTGTGGTTTAGCACTGTGGTGGTAATGATAACTCTTCAAATGATCCTCTTCAGCTTAATAACATCCAATCCCTCTTCAGATCTACAAAGATGTCTTTGGCTATCCTCTTAAAGCCTTGTTGCTTATGTTTTTTCCAGCTGGCTGAGCTGAGAGGTGTCCCACGTGGACTGTATGATGGTCCTGTCTGCGAAGTATCAGTGACACCAAAGACTGTCACACCAGCATCCTCTGCTAAGACATCTCCAGCCAAACAGCAGGCCCCACCTGTCAGAAACCTGCACCAGTCTGGATTTAGCTTGTCTGGTATGTACTCATTTACATGGGCTACATAATTACACTGATTATCTTGGCTATTTTTTTTTCTTATGCTGCATGTTCTGTGGAGGCAGGAGGAAAGAGCAGG